TACCATTGTTAGACTGATCGTTAAGGACTATTTATTGCCCTGTAGACCAGGTGTTCCAAAAGTAACACTGTGAAAGGGCCTCAAAGTATGCTAAAATTGCAATGTGAAGTCAAAAATCCTTGGGTCAAGGGCATTGAAGGGTCTTTCTTCTAGGTCAGTAGTCCATGGTGGTCACAAAAGTAGCCCCCCTGACTCATTTCAGGACTCAAGTGCGCATGACTGGAAAGAGGTGGGAGTAAGAAAATGAGTTATAGGAGTTAACATGTTTATGTATGAGAACCTGATTAATATGTGTTACTGTATCCATGCTCCATGATTAGGCATGTGTTGTTGGTGAGACAACTCCCCTACACACCCAGCTGTTAATAAAGGAGTGTCTGCTTATCTACATCACATTGGTGTCAGTAAGTTCTTTTAACCCATTTTGGTGACACATGGGCTGCACTGGTAGCCCTGTGATTACTAGGCAAACAAGAGGTGACAAGGCAAGTCCAAGGTCAATCCAGGAAGCCCAATCAACAAATCTGGACAAGGAAGGGAGAGGGCTGACCATAGTCCTTCCTAGACCATAGCTCTGATCTGAAGTGAGGCTTCTGGAGCCCTGGGCAGGGAGTGTGGGTGGAAGTCCCAGGTGAGACTGGGGCAAGTAATTATGACCTACTTGTGCTCACTGACTCTGGCAGTAGGGATTAAACAGACTTTTACACAGATTTCTGAAAGACATGTAGGCATAGATTAAATAGAAAAGAGGTAAAGATGTTACTCTCACAGCTATCCACTCTGCTCCTATGGCAGGATCAGCACCCACCCCTGCAGCAGTTCCAGGACTAGCACACTCCTCAGCTTGACACAACCACATACAACCGGGTCAGTGTGCCTTCAGCCACCATACTGATTCACAAGAAAATTGGATATTCTTGCTTCAGGCATGACAACCACCAAAGAGACAGAATAGACATGTAACAGAGAAGCTCTAACATCTTTAGCTATCCAGCCTTAATCCTCTATGTCATGCCTGCCAGAGCTACTGGGAAACATCTGCAACACATTTAAGAAGTTATCGGTGCCCTCCTTCAGGAGCCTTCTACCCCCACACAGCAGACTGCTGAGCAGATGGAGCACATGCGCTCGCTTCAGCCACTTCAGCACAAAGTCTGGCACCTGAGAGCCAGACACTTCTCACAGCCGCTGCCCAAAGCGGCTAACAGCAGCCTAGACCGCACCAGAGATGTTAACTGCATACACTGATGCAGGTCTTTTTGGCTTCCACTTGCTAAGTATCTAAGCTCAAGGAATGTTTTTGAACCAAAACCTGTACACTACATTTAAGTAACATAAATTGTTTTTTCTTAGTGTTGCCTCAGTCCTGACTCCTTATTGCAAGAACACAAAATAGGCCAGTGGCTTTGGCTGCTGTGGCTGGCTTCCAAGCAGCATCATGGCCCACTGCTTTTTAGAGTTCTCAGCCTATTTTTAACAGCAATTTAAGAAATATAAGCTATTTAAAACAAGCAGCATAAAAAGAAGTATCATTTGCTTCACATGATTATTATGTGCATAGTAATGACAGGAAGACTACTGCAAATGTTTTCCAACTCTTAAAAAAAAATGAAGAACGCTTCCTTTGCAATATATAATTTTGAATTTTAATTTAGATAACTCAGATTATTTACTGGCAACAAAAATATGCATATTCATGAGATCTGATTTACTATAATCTTTATTTCTGATGTTCTGCATCTGTGAACACTTGAAGTACTTGAGTTTGCATTCATGGGCAATTACACAGGAATCTCACAGAGTAGCAACAGATTGATTTATAGTTGAGAGTTTGTAGCCAATTCGTTTTCTTTCAGAAGGGCTGTGGCATGAGATTTGGGATTGATGCTTCCACCCTCACTTTTCAACAAATTACTTCTTATCTAATAGACATACAAATCAAGGTCATTATAACGAGGGTCAAACCAGTGATTTTTAGATGCAGCCACTCTACTAACAGAAAAATAAATAGACAGCAAGTGAAATAAAGGTTAGCTTCTGTGCAAGTGAACGGTGCTTTAGAGAGGAAAGCTAGACACACTATTTGGTCATTCTACCTTCACACCCAAGGGCTCCCTCAAGTTCCCTCACACTGACTCCCACTGAGCCTTCTAGAAATCCAAACACTTACTATGCAAAACACATTTTTCTTAAAAACCTCTGCTTCCCTAACCATGTTTCTTTCTGGTCTTGCCTTTTTTGTCATTCATTCCAGCCTTCTGAAGTACAAAGATTCTTCTAATAAAACAAACTTGAATTAATTTCCAAAAGTAAGTCATAGGAGAATGAAGCAAACCCATAATAAATCAGAAGTACAATGGAAGAAAGTACAATGAATACAGCTTTTGATGCATATACCGAGTAAATACGATGATAAAGCTCACTGATGCATTAGTCCCTCTGTTTTACACTCGACTCCTTCAAATGAAGGAACACAATGGCAGAGGCTTCCCAGGAAAGCCAATGTTTCCAAACAGTAGAAACCCCCCTCCCACAAACAATTTTTGCTGAACAAAATTCTCTTAAAATTAATCTTCATTTTCCACACAGTCTGCTTTAAGGTGCAAGTAATTCCACATCATTACCTCAAGCCATATAAAGATAATGAAAACAACTGCAGTTTCTAGTAGCCATAATGCAGAGACTTACCTCTGAAAACAAACTAGGGGTAGAAGAGAGAAGAACTTATGCCCACCAGATCATAGTTAACTGTTGGGCGTAACTATATTAGACATACCTCTGTCTAACAAAAATACAGTATTGCAGTATTATCTATCACCTGTCAGCAAAATTGTCTCATGTAAGTAAAGTTTTTATTTTCCATTTCACAAATATTATGCTAATTTTACCCAAAATGGCTTTAAAATCACCTTGTCCTCAACTCCTGGCAGATATGACAAGCTCTAGTGTTGTATTACAAAGAAAACGCTGTGCTATAGGGAAGGGCAAAATACTGCCTGGTAAAGCTGTTGGCAATTTGCCGCCACTTAAAAGTGTAACTCATCCTCCCTCCATTTTTAAAGAAAGGCATAAACCATTTTAGAAATAATGCTTACAGCAAATGCAAAACAAATATGTTTGTAAGCAGAAAACGTAGACAGAAAAACATCCCGTCTCAGGGGACAGAGTGATATAGCAGTTATAGCTGTCTGCTTTTTGGGTAACAATAGGATGACTTTTTTGACTTGCACATTCAGTTGTAGACTTCTGTAGGGCTGGCTAAAAGTGGTACCAGGGGTGCTGTCTAAAGGCTACATAAATCATTCAGCCTTCCTTTCAGCAAGATTTCTGACCAAAAGACAAGCTGATAGCAAAAAAGCATTTTTCTCAGGATAGTTATCACCTAGGCTGTTCTGAAGTACTGGGAGTGGATTTGAACTCTTCGAGTCCTTCTGAGATTCAGAGATCTGCCTCCTACCTGCAACACGTATCTATCTTCAACATCTAGATATTTAATAGTAAAAAAAGACTGGAGCTGCATATCATCTCATTTATTAGTCACAGACCATATACTTTCTCTAAGGACTCCAAGGATCAAACATAAGCTAAGAGTTTTGCCTTCCTAAAAACCCTGCTGTGCAGAAAATGTTGGTTCACCCCTTAAGAATTTAATTTTAAGCCTTTCATCCAATTCATAGTAACTATCACAACATAGCTTGATAGTTCTAAGGCTAAAGTAGAAATAATACCCCAACAGTTTTAGGAAAGCAAAGTACGTAAGCACCTTTGACCCATTTGAAAGACATAGCATCAATTATAAGTCTGCAAAATTCGTCCATCAGCCATTTTTCAGTCTTTATAAGAGATCGGTATTCATAGTCCATAAAATAACAGATAATGGAACATTTATTAAATAAGTCAGTGGGCCTCAAGCATGCTCTAAACAGAAGCTCACTATAATAAGTAACCGCCTTTACTTCCTAAAGTCAGTTCAGAAGTGGAATACTTTCCGCTCCTATAACAATTTTAAACTGTTTTAAGTGTTTTTTCAACAATACCGTATCTTTTCCAGATCTTGTAGCATAACTACTTCTCTCAAACAAAAAATGCATGTTTATAGTACACAACATGACCTGATACCTACAGAAAATAGAATTAACTTTCGCCAGCAACACATTCACTTTAACATAACCCTAAGTAACTCCTGTCAGTTTTCTGAGCAGAAAAAATATGTATAATTCCACTCAAGCAAACACACAGGCACAAGGAAGGTGGAGACAGGTGTATTTGTAAGTGGCCGCCTGAATCCCAAACACCGCTAGCCAGCTCAGGCTGTGTTAAGCAAGAGGTTGATCAGGTCTTTCAGGTAGTCGTGACCTTCAGTACGCATACAAAAGTATTTCTGAAAGATTGGAAAGTGTTTAAAAAATAATAAGACTAAAAATCCTTACAGGTTTGTACCTAGATGTCAGCCGCGTAGGAGGTAGGAACAGTCAGCTCCCACCAGTCCTCAGCCCACCAGGAAAAGGGTTTCACGTCCCCTGACCGGAACGGCCGGGGCCCGGAGCTGTAACCAGGCTCACAAGTCGCTAAGGCGGGGCCCGGGGCCGGGGAACAGGCCAGCAGCTTGACAACAACCGGCCGTACCGAGCCCCTCACGGCCCCGGGCGCCGCGTGGCCAGGCCTTACCGGGACTGCTGCCACAGGGGGACGTAGGCTGCGGCCCTGGCGCTCACGGGGAAAAGCTGCAGCAGCGCGGGAACCCTCGAG